TCTCTTTTATCATCCCCAGCAAGATTCGATCATATGTTTCATCCAAACCATCAGGTAGATTGTTTAGCTGTTCTCTGATTGCCTTCTGAGTTCGGCATTTCTTAAGCTCCATTAGCTGCAATGCAACCCATCGAAACCTGCATTTGAATTTAGAAAATATCCTGTCATTCAGGTACTGGGTAAAAAACATACATTCCATCTGCTTTCTTTATCAATGTTGACCTTATTTCATGCCGAATCTTTTGATCCCACTTCTGCCAGTCAGAGTCATTCTGAAGCTGATGGTCAACATAGGCAACAATATTATAGTTTCCAGATGCTTCAACCAGATCAACACAGTGGTAATGACTAAATTTATCATGAATATCTTTTTCTGGTCTGCTAGTAGTGACCAAGTGCAGCCTGAGATTTCCATTCTTATGCAAGATAACAGTCTGAACCCAGTCAAGCACCCTATCTCTTTCAGAGCATTCATCAAGAGCATCCAGAATAATATATGCAGAGTTGAAGCCACCAAGAATCTTTTGGAGAACATCATGAAGATCATCAAGAGATGGTTGCTGATAACCATTGCCACAGTGAGAATATAAGTCTGCCAAAACCTTTGGTACACCATTCCCACATTTCAGTGAGAATTGCCAAATAAGTGATCGAATCAGTTTATCATGCAGCTGTAATTCCTTTTGAGAATCTCTGCCATCAAAAAAGAAATAAGCAGTTGCAAGAGATGATTGTGTTTTGGAAAGATGATTAATGATGGAAGAGCTAATGAAACATCATCTCTTGAAACAACAAAGCAGACAAAATATTTACCTTAGAATGGTTTTACCACATCCAGCTTGACAATTGGTAAATTCAGAACCTAAAACTGTATTCATAAACAGATAACTTACATTTTCCTTTAATCCAGAGAAAGCCAGCCTCTGCCAGCCACTTTGAAAAGCTCCTGCCTTGGAGAAACATGAGCAGGAGTCTGGCTGACTCTTTAAAATCATATATGCTGCATGGTAATTGCTAGAACTGTCAGGTGGGGGAAGCCATGCACGAATATCTTTTGACTGAAGTATGAGATAGGTTAGTTAAAGTGATACAACTAAAATTGGTATATGTATATATACCAAGTTGTTCATTCTCAATTGTTTTTAATGAGATTTGAATACCCAAATCCACAACTATTGAACAAGATATTAATTGACATCAACAGCATATTGTGGTTATTACACACCTTCATTGATGACTTGTTGAATGATAACACCTGTTGAAATGCAGGTGAACATCTTAAACGTGAGCTTGTCTATATTATCATACCTTGGTTGAGGCCAGTATTTACATTATGAATCCTCTCAAAATTATTCATAACACCAACTTCAGGGTTAGTTGAATGACCTGCATGGTGAGCTTGCAATTGATATAGACCATAATAATTTATTGTAGAAATTACCTGCTGGATCTGCAATGGGAAGGTTGGATAGAGGTGCGGTCGAGATACATGGGCCGGATTTTAGATGACCTATGTCAGAGCTGTCAGTAACTTGGAAAAGCAGAATTCAATTAGAACAGACCAGTCAAGACAGGGAAAGGCTGTTGCAATGCCTGAGTCACATGTGAATGTCCAGCCCGGTCACCTACAATGGATGAAAGTCAACATTGACTCGATGCGCAAAGGAGTTGTCAGCTATCTCACCAGTGACAGCCATTCCTCCATCAGCCGCACGGAATGGAGTCGTCATGAAGGGCGGCGCAGAACTGGAGCCGGCTGCACCAGTAGCGTCGTTCACGGATTGAGGTATCGGCGAGCGCAATCTTGGTTTCTTGTGACTAGATAGCCAGTCCAATGAAGATTCTTTCCGTTTGTTCGACATCGTAAACGAGATGGAAGTTGAGAAGGAAGATGAGGCGCTCGTGGTTGCGGTGTTACTTCAACCAATGTGTCTCCATCCACAACAAGGGCAAACTCCATGGCGTAATCCCAACGAACATCCAAACGCGATTCGCCCAATGCCTGCACTTTCTCCCCCCGCACTCTATCAACTAAAATTCTAAGCCAAAAGTCCACCATGAAGCCACACTCTATCAACTAAAATTCTAAGCCAGAAGTCCACCATGAAGCCATCGTTCATGTCCCACAGACCTAGGCCCTCGCCTCGACCAAACCTTGGAATCCGCGCGATTGAATCAGCGACGATGCGGAACGCGCTCTCCAGGCAGGTAGGAAGGGTGCTTATTGCGGTGAGAATGTACGTTATTCTTTTGCGCGTTTGTTGTCTTCGGCACTCTGATTGTAAAATGGTGTTCTCAAAGCCCCTCGATGTCACCGCCATCCACGGCGAAGTTACTTACTCGGACGTTCCCTTGACCTCGACCTCCACGTTCATTTTGTCTCTCGACTCAAAACCACGACCTTTGCCGTATAGAGTCCCTCGGACCTTGGGTGCTTTTTCCCATGCAATTGTTTGAATCGTTCTCTAAGACTTATCATTCAGATTTCAGGGTGCAAGTACTTCCTTATGAGTACTTCTACACCTCGATGGGCTTCCATTCCTTTGGTTGCGTGTCTACGTGTTTTGCGTTCTATAAAGGCACTTTCAAGGTGGACTTCCTCGCAAGAGTCGAGGATCGTGGTCGAAAAAGCACGAGCAAGAGTGCAAAGCCACCTCCTTTCGAACACCCAAGCTTTCCCTGTTTCCAGTATTTAGTAGGTATGTATCATTTGGGGTGACGTTGTATCCTCTTCTCAACATCTATGACTGTAGTGGTGGAAGACGCCACTTACTTTTGATAAACGACTGGTTTGCAACCACCGTGAAACCTATTTGGGGCTGGCGCTCTCGGCAGGAAACCAGGGATGATGGGTGGACGTGCTCGTTCTCGAAGTTATTGGTCGGTTCGATTCTTTATAGTCTATCCTGCTCGCATTTCAGGCTAACACGGCGTGCAGCTGCCCCGCTACTCAATCGACTTCGAAGCAACGCCCGATACGCCGGTTGAAGCTTTTCAAGAGCTAAAACAAACCTCTAGCCCAAGTTCGGTGTCGAGTTGCTGCATGGATATCAAGCATGTTCAGTGGTTAGCCTGACCTTTGCTGTCATTCCCCTTGGAGCGCAGGACTTCAGTGAATCGGAGTTTATGAAGCCTTAACGTTCGTTATCAACTCCGATTTGATCTAATATGACGACGCTGGTTTAGGATGCAAGGACCTGAGGACTCCTGCAAAGCTCGAGATGTTCATATTCCCTTCGTTGCACGATTTCAAGTCCGAGCCACGCCTTCTCCCAAGATGAACTCCCATCCCATCCGCTAGACTTCAAGAATTCAAGAATCGGGACCAAATGATGCTTTGAAAGGCACCAGCGCCCATAGAGGACGTCAAGGGGTTGAGAAGCGTACGGAGAAGATAGGGTGGATGGGGGACGACAAAGTCCGGACAGTCCTGCAAAGCCAAACGTGCATCAGGCAATGGCGAGTTTGGTGCCGCCACGATGTCCGTAAGCTTGGAGGACGCAAGCCCAAGGTCGCTGATCCAGCTCGCAAACCTCGCGCCCCAGCTAAGGACGCCCAAAACGACTCTGGTGAAGACCTCGAAGCCCCGCCTTTCGACCTACCTCGCCAGGCGCTGATGGATGTTGAAGCTCCAGCACCTCCACGTCGCCTCGGGAAGAGCAAGGGGGAAAGTCGTTGTTTCAGCAGCACCCTATGCTATTTCAGCGACGATGCCTGAAGAACTCTCTGGTCGCAACTTGCGTTTCGTCGTTTACAAAGTGGCGCTTGTCGATTTCGGATTGAGTTGTGCAGGACGGCGACAGGTGATTTTACTTTTTCCTTAAGGTAAGCCCAGTCTCGCTCTCGAATTCTTGCCTCATCAGATTCCTTTTTACAGTCACTCTCTTCCATCGTAGCTTAAACGGATCGATACCATCGACGATTTGCTGGTTGTTTTTGAGTATCGTGCAACATACCAAGTCCCTACGCCTACCTCAATTCTGCAAGATATCCAGAGTGTCGTATTGAGATCCACTTCCGCTAAATTCTTGATCCAGTGAGCCTCACACAACTCAAACATGCGCGTAAAAAGCTCATCATCTCCTTGATAGCCCGGTCCAGACGTATTCAAACCTATACTTGCCTCCAAACTCGTCATTTCACGTCAAGCGTGCACGAGCAAACAAAGCGGGTAATCGATTGACGGACGAAGAAGCACATATATACTACGAGGTTCAAACGTCCACAAACGATTCCTCATTTCTCAGGTTTGCCCTCACTCATAACCTCCCGCCTTTGTGTTCGTCTCACGCGTTCTTGACAGGGTAAAATCGAATTAAACACATAAATGAAATCCGAAACGCCAACAGGGCGGCCTGAGTACCGTGAAGACATTGTTGGCATCTCAAAATGCAAAGAGCTTGTCGATGGACGAAACCCTTGTCGGGATGGAGTACTCGTAGGAGGAAACTTTGCGAGTACTGTTTAGACTTCGGCAGCGGCCTCTGTGGCGGCAGAGGTTCATGGGAAGGGGAAGAAATAGAAGCTTGCGAAAGGACACGCGGGAGGAGGGGGAAAACGTATTTCTCTAAAAAGATTATCGTTGAATGTTGATCTATGTACGCCTGTGCTTGTAGATGCGTAAACAAGTTTTTGTGACATTACAAGTACGCAATTGTTAGCTTGACGGTTTAGAAGTGAGCATGAAGTGGAACTAGTGAGTGCTAGATCGTGTGTAGGCCGTCTCTAACTGAACGAGTGACTTTTGTGATCGCGCATTTACTCACTCACCATGACGTGACGACTCATGTCAGCGTACGTTCCTTGAGCCTGTCTCTTCTAGTAATAAAAACTGACGGTAGAATAAGGATTATAGCCGTCCAGGGCGCGTAGATCTCATCCGAGTTCTCACCACACCCCCCACCAACCCCCCACCGCACTCGCATGATCAATTTTCAAATTTTAAAGCCACAGCCCACCATGAAGAGAATCAATGCGATTCACTCCCCTCATTAAATCAATAGCCTACCAAGTTCTACGCGCACCAACGTACCTCCACCACCCATCCCGAGGGTGGCATCGCACTTCAAAGCTTCATGCATTATGGTTGAAGGGGGAGAGTTACTGACCAATCCATGAAGCCGTCGAAACTCCAGTGTCAAGTCGGCCCCGCCAGATGATCGAAGCTTATGCGTGGAGGTGTTGGCAGCAGAATATGGAGAAGAGGAACTAAAGCCAACTCGAATAGGGCACGAGAGTGCATGTTACGCGTGAGGGTATCCCTCTCTCGCAAAGAGCTTTTATCCTCGGGAAGAATACCCTCATCCCTTTCCCCCAAGCACAAGCCGACTACCCTCTTGTTCAACCAGACGACTATCACCTCCTCCCACACCGTCCACAACGTAGAGACGCAACCGTAACATCTATCGACCCACTCGATCTCGCAGAGTACGCACGTACCCCTCGCAGACGACAAACGGAGAACCGTACCCACCGCTTAAACGCCTGTCATATCCTTCCCCATCATCCTTTCCATCTCTCAAGCACGCATCACATCTACTTTGGCCAAGCCTAAGTCGACCACTAAGCCTCGTCTTACGGCCTACGCTCATGTCGACGGCTACGCATTCAACGGGAACGTGGAATCCACCTAGTAGGCAAAGACCCACGTCACTGCCGCCGACTCGTAACGCTAGCGCGGTTAATATCACAGACCATCATCCAGAGATCGACATCTCACAGTTTCCTGCTTAGTCTCGGAGCTGGTACCGTCCCCCACCCAGCAACAACACCACATCGACGATCGAGACATCTGCACACCCATCCCTCCATCCCACCTTCACAACTCAACACGTACCGATCTTCGACCCAACTTACCACCTCTCCTGGGACCTACCTCCCCACTCCACCTCCTCGCACCACCAACCTCCTCTCGCGAATTCGTACCATGGGGCTCCAACCCACCCGAATACAACGCCACACCACTTAACCCCCTACTAAAAGAAGAGCGCCTTCGCATGCTCGAGCGCGAATTTGGCACACACAAAGCGCGATCAAGCAATTTCTTGGAGGAGCGCGGGAAACAACTTATTGGACGCGAAAGGCAACCTCGTAACGCAAGGCCCAGAAAAACGGTTTGCGGTGCAAATCATTTTGGCGGGGACGGCAGCGATTCTGAGCATACACGCTGCCATCGCCATTAAACAACCTCATTCAGGGGATCCATCTT